TGTATGCGTCAAGGTGTCAACTGACAAAATAACAGCCATATGTATGCGTCAAGGTGTCAACTGACAAAATAACAGCCATATGTATGCGTCAAGGTGTCAACTGACAAAATAACAGCCATATGTATGCATCAAGGTGTCAACTGACAAAATAACAGCCATATGTATGCATCAAGGTGTCAACTGACAAAATAACAGCCATATGTATGCGTCATGGTGTCAACCGTCAAACTACAAAAGCACGGTGGTGTGTCACAGCATAAACAGTCAAACTAAAGCCATATGTCTGTCACAACTTTAACCAAATAGTCATTTGAAGTGTCGTGACATCAACCAAACAGTCACAAGACCTGTCATGATGTCAACCAGTCACAAGACTTGTCATTAAAAACAAAAACAATATATATGTATCATGTCATGATGTCAAACATCAACCAAAACAGTCTCATGACATGATGTTAGAAATCAACCAAAACAGCCATATATGCGTCACATCATGACGTATGTCATCAACCAAACAGCCATGCATGCATCAAGTCATGACATCAACCAAAAGAATCAATGACATGACGTCATCCATCAATACATCAACCAAAACAGCCAAACATTCATTCACACATCATATCATGCCATTGACACCCCCTCCCACCCCCACACATACATACATCCCACACACCCACTCACTCACACACACCTACCCACATACACACCCACACACACACACACACACACACACACACACAAAATACCCTCACCCTCTTCACACTCGGGGAAGTTGGGGGCCTCCATGAGCGAGCCCGGGATCTCCCGGCCGTCCAGATCGCTGCACCAGCAGTCGCCCGTGCCCGGGTGTCCGCGGCACTGCAGCAGGTCAAAGTCGCCGTTGTCCAGGCAGCGAGGCACGTAGCGGCCCACCAGCTGCTGGCTGGCCCGACGCCGCTTCTCGCACTCGCTGAGGGGCCGGCTGGTGGTGGTGGTGCTGGTGGTGGTGGTGGTGCTGGAGGCCAGCAGGGGCCGCTTGGTGGGCGTCGTCACCTCGTCTGTGGGGGAGGAGGATGGACGGGAGGTAGAGGATTATGGTTTTGTCTTACTTTCTTACTTTTCAAAAGGTGCCCAATGCAATGATACTACGTCCCATATTCAGAATCTCATCACGGGAACTGGAGGTAGAGGATTATGGTTTTGTCTTACTTACTTTTCATAAGGTCCCTAATGCTGTGATACTAGATCTACATCCCATATTCAAAATCCCATCAGGGGAACGGGAGGTAGAGGATTATGGTTTTGTCTTCCCTACTTACTTTTCATAAGGTCCCCAATGAAGTGATAGTGATACATTCTAGATTTCAACATCTTATCTGGGGAACGGGAGTTGGAGGATTATGTCTTTTATTTTTCCTCTTTCAAACGGTCCCTAATGCTGTAAAACATCCCATATTTCAACACCCCCCCCCCCCCCCAAAAAACAACCTTTGAACAACCATTGACTCCTTTCAACATAAATCGAAAAACTCTTGTTTTCAAAGAGCACTCTTCAAAGGCTCTACTACCAAGAAAAGTACCGCATATTTCATGGCTTTTTTTGCCAATATTTGAGCACTGCTTATCATATTTTTCACCTCCATTTGCACAGTTACTTCAAAATGCTCAAGTGCACAGGGCGTGTGCACACAGTAGGTAGAGGTGCAACCTGAAAGAACATGAATTTTTCTTAAAGCCTGTATGGATTGTTAAAGAAAAAAAAATCCCAGAGGGGCCTAAAGAATAAAAACTTATGGAAATGGTTATTTAGTGTTGGGGAAAAAGTAAGACGACTAACAGAAAGCAACGACAGAGGTAAAGTAAAGAGGTAGGGCGTACCAGTGGCGCTCTCCCACCACCGGCAATCGAGAGAGACAGAGAGAGAACAGAGAGAGAGAGAGAGAGA